GATTCATCATGTATCTTTCCTGGAAGAGAGGATTAAAAAAAAATGGAAATATTCAGTTTCACGTTGCACGCTCGATTTCGGACGACTTTTTTTTCACCGCAGAAATATGTTCAGCCTTACCCTTTTCTTTTCATCCTCTTCACTTTTGTCAGAAATTTGTTGCCGAACATTTATTCACTTGCTCCTCTCCCGTACGACTCTCGACATCATGATTATACGTAAGAAAATCCGCGGCATCGTCATATATTCTTGGTAGGGAAAAGGGAAAAAAAGTGAAACCTCAACTTTTTCAGTGAATATTTTTTTCTCGATCAATGTCTACTTCCATTAAGTTTGAATGAAGTTGAGTAATGATAGGATGTTTCACTTTCGAGTCATCAATTTCACGATCAATAGCCTGATGTTATTCAATTTGATGAAAAACGTGATTTTTTAGCTTTACATTGAATTTTTAGCGACTTTGAATATTCAAAGAGTGAAAAGTTACAACACGGTTTTGAATTTAAGATTTAAACAATGAACTACTCATACGAGATTGAGTAATTGATATACGTATTCAAAAGTTTTAATATTATTACATCCTTAAAAATTATACGACGTAATAATTTTAAAATTACGAAAGGAATTATTATATTTAATTAAAATTTATACGTTGATATTAATTATGTACCGAGAGAGAGGGAAAGAGAAAAATGAGGGAAAAGCTCCATAAATCTTCGGATCATGTACGTATTGTGTACGCGATTAATCAAGGATTTCAAATGTTCTACGTCAGGAATCTCGCGTATTCGAACTTATTTGAGTAATACAAGTATTGAAATATCTTCAAGCCAATTTCCAAGCTTTTCCACGCGCGTGGGAGATATTCCATCCCGCTTCAGATTCCAAGTACATTATCATGTAAATCGTAAGCACGGTCGGTGAACAAACTCGAGAGAAGAAGGAGCTGGACCGGGTCGGCGCCATAACGCCCATGAGACGCGGACGAAAATTTGATGGTTTGGTACTCGTAAAGGTTTAAGTACTCTGAAAAAAAGTGAACGCGTGTGCATGCGATTGTTGTAATCGCACTTGCTATACGGGGTGCTCGAGCGTTTTTACGGCGGAACGGATCGCCAACTGACGTGAATATTATGGACCGGAACGTAATTGAGCGAACGACATTAGTGAATCGGTTGTGCAACTGCATTGGCAAAGTTCAATCAGTTTTTTGTTACGTATTATATCGGTGTAAAATAAAAAGCTACTAAAAATAAAAAATTTAATTACTTTTTACATGTTATTTTATATGTCAAGCAAAAAAATGAAACCCCCAGCCAATATTCTTTTTTCTCTTTCTCTCTTTTGCGATTCTTTTTTTTTATTAAACAATATACGGGGTTGATACACAATATTTGCTTTTACTGTATTTCATTGTACTGTAACATTTCCGCCGTTTATAATAGTTAAATTCGATAGACGCTGAACAAATGTTTACAAATATATGTACCACGCAAATATCGTTATTTTAACTATTACTTTATGTATTATGTGAAATCATGAAATTTGTTTTATTGTTTTATCATATTGCTACGTATTTTAATGACCCGTGATCAAAGTGAAATTATGCAGCAATTTTATCCCTACCGTATAGAAGTATTATACTGTATTTCAGAAATAGCTCCACTTGCGCGTGAAGTGAATGCTTATGAATTTGGAAAAAAGCTTTTCTAAAGAGTGGAAAATCGTATATAAAAATATCCAAAGCTAATAAAAGATCTGCTTTATTTTATTTATTTTATTCGATTATATTGCGACGATTTGCGCGTGCACGAGCAGAAAGCTCAATACATTGCATTGCGAGAAATCTGAAACGGTGCTATATGGACGCTGTACTGACGCATTGAAAAGGGAAAATCATGCGGCGTGTGTCAATGGAATCTTTTTAATTTATTTGTTTTTAAATCTTTTTAATTAAACCTCGCAAATTCCATTGACACACGGCATACGCGTTAAAAAAAACCGTCAAATTCTAGGTGGGTGAGATTCACAATAAATCTCGTTGCGCCTCTCGCGTATTGTGTTGTAAATGCGGCTCGCTGCCGCGCTGTTGCCGCCTCGGCAAACGATTCTAGGTTCAATTAGCGTCTCGAATTCGTGCGTGGGTGTGGTGGACACGCGTTGTATTTATGCTATGCGTTCTGACATTCCTCGCACTGTTAGCTATAATTCCGATAAATCAAATGTGGCTCGACTGACGTGGTTTGCGACTATCAACATGTCATGGTATTTTCCACATCCGCGAGTATCAATTCATATATGTACAACATAGATCTCTGAGAAAATATGTCCTAAAGATGTCCAGAGGATGTTCTAAAGGGGACGTTCTACGTTGAAAAAGAGTTTGATAATAGCCACTAATATTGAGTGAAGCCGTAAATATTAAGTAAACTAATTTCAATCAAATATTCGATTACGTATATACGATATAAAATAATTTTATTTTTCTATATATAAATAATAGTTATTATTACTAAATGGTTGATTACGCATTATTATGTTTTGTAGTACTTGCTAAATATTTAGAAAAGTAAAATTATTTGTATTATATTTATCAAACATTTAATTGAAATTATTTCACTTGACATTTGGTAACTATTACTACATTCTTTTTTCAGTGATCCGAAGAACACATTCCCAGGAGGTCTTCTCTTTCGTAAATTGTGCAGCTCGGATGAAGACATTACGTTAAAATGTCATGATATATTCCTACGCTTGCTAATATCACTATGTTATAATGGGAAGTCTAGTAAATAATTATTATTATTGTTATCTTCTACTAGTTCTATTCTACTTTTATTTACAATGAACAGATAACGTGAGTTTCAGTAGCGCAGTGGATGAACATGGACCTTTTGAATCCTTTGCAAATTTACTGTTGAATAAAATATAATTAACCCATATTTCGCAGGCGCTGAATACAGCTCGCCTATTTCAATTCGCGAAGCGTGATGAGTTTGATTGCACTTTGTACCACTAAAAATAAAAACCGAAGTTTGATGACGATGATAGCTCTCGCCGTGGACGCGAATCTCTTTTCCCAGTTCTGGCGGTGAAATTCTGACGAAAATAGCCGCGTTCCCTCGTAAAGGTCGCACATAAAACTGAACGAATGCGTGACAACGTTCCACTAGGTGTTTCATTTCAACTTCGATTCAGATAAATTGTGAAACACTATGATTTCTCATGTTTCATTGCTCGAATTCCGTTCTCTCGCCGTTTCCTTGGTCGAGACAAGCGCAACGTGGAAAACGCATTCTTGAAATATTTTTATTCTATTTCAAGGCGTGCACGTCAGTCAGGGGGTAAACTGAAAAGTGCGAGACTCTTTATAAATGATCGCGCCAGGTTTCGCTGCGGTTCCATTTTTCACACCAGAACAGGACTAGACGTGTATTTTACATTGAGATCGCGAAAAACACGTCTCTCTCTCTCTCTCTCTCTTTTTCTCTCCCTCTCTCTCTCTCCGTTAGTATATTTAAGATGCGCTATTCAAAATCGATCATTGCTGCGCTTGTAATTTGAATGAGTAACAGATTACCCGCTTTCGCGGAAATATCACGCAATTTCGTTTCATTTCGATGTGGTATAATATCGACGTAACATCGCACTATTCGCAAGATAATTGGACCATGCGGTTACGTTATTCATCTATATTTCATCGTGGGTATAAAATGAATTCATTCATTAGTTATTACGGAAGCCGCTTGTCGGATGCTGCTGTTGAATCTAAAGCCGAATACGCGTTTATATACGTGTTGAGCTTTTCAATATTTCAAGTTACTGCATGTACCCGCTAAAATAAGACAAACGGAAATAGCACGGATTGTATCATTTATTCAGAAAATTTTTATACCTTTTCATATTATTCTTCGAAGTGATGCAGGCTCGTTCGCGTATGAACACGGAGTGTTCTTTTATAGGAGAGCTACGGTATATTTCCAGAAGTGAATCAATGTTGCATTTTTTGATAAGTTCGGTGTTGATCTTTCTTAATTAATTAATATTATACATATATTTACGTTTTATTTTAATTCTCACAAATTTCGCGATTTTTTCGAGGAACCAGATAATTAAATATTAAATTAAATATTAAATTAAATGTCCGTTAGAATGCGTCACATTCCGCGAATTAATTAAGAGTTATATTCGGTATTTTTTTTATATCGTCTTTTATTTCTATATGTATTCATGAATTCTTTTCTGTGTTTCTACTTTATATAAATTAAAAAATAAAGAGAACCGCAACCGCAGGAACCAACATCTAGAATTCACTTTTATTTATTCGTTTAAACCTGAAACTTTCCGAGAAGCGTATATATATATATAGATAGAGAGGAAAGCACATTTACGGCCGTCATTCCGACACCGTGTCGTCGATCGTAATTACTGCGGGACGCAGTAATACACGGCCGTTACACTCGGTGGGTAGCGTGGCGCTTCGATTATGAATAAAACATGCACTTACAAAACACCATTCCATCGCTCTTTCCCTTTACTCGCTCGATATACCGGAAAGAGTACGTCGCCGTTCGTGAGACGGGCCGGGATTCTATGCACGCGTCGCGCGGCCAGGGGCCATTTGTACGTGTCGTCGTTTTTTGCCGGTCGCATTGTCGGGAAGCCGAGGTAATTGGGAGACGGCCGTCGATCTCCCGTGCGCCAGCAGGGCGCGTTTAATAAAGTTAATATCACCTCCGGTAATATAGTAAACGGTGGTAAACGGCGGACAGTTAATACCGGGGATCGAAACCGGGGTATCGTAAATATTGTTTGTACGCCACTTTTTCTCACTTTTTCTCACTTTTTCTCGGCGCGGATGTGGGAATGATAATCGTCTTGTTGCCTCGTGAGATGAAGGTAAATTTAAGGAACTGCGCAAGCGAACTTTCTTCCGGTAGAAGGAAAGAAAATGGATGGAAATCAATTCAACAAAAGAGAATCTACGTTTTGTCTTGCAGAACTCTTTAGAAGCGCGGCAGAGGCTGGTCCTCTGGACATCGTAAAACTTCGCAAGGGGGACAAGCTCCTCAATATTTCAACTCATCTACCGGCGAACATGCCCGACACGCCTTATGTTCTTCAGGTATTTTATTTACATTTTTATTCTACGTAATTAATCACATATTTGAGGAAGTAGTTTTTGATCAATTTTTTTTTGTGGAAGTTGCTCTGCAAGAAAGGCAAAGAGTTTCTTGTTACTCTTATTCGAAGAAATTTGTGGAAATAGCTTTCGATAAAAATGCTTTTTGTGGAAGTCGTTCCGCAAAAAAAGGCAAATAGTTTCTTGTTTACTTATTCGAAAAAGTTTGATGAATGAAAGAATTGTGTTCTTTCTATCAGATTTTACGGTTATTACGGTAGGGATGATAGGTTAGGTTTGAAACAAATGATGTCTTGATTTGAGTAATGAGCGTTTAATCTGTGCGTTAAATCAACAAACAATCGTTATATTATCATAATTAGCCTTATCATTCGAATTAATGTTGATGGCAAAGTTCATTATGAATTTATTGTGACTTTGAAAAAGAGTTTCAAACTTTGATTATTTTTCATAAATAACTGCTTCATTTGCATACAGTTCTTTACATATTTACGAGGATATCGATCTATGTTTGTCAGGAATGTAAAATTCATTTGATAATAAAATGCAAAAGACACTTTTCCTGATCACGATAAATATACGCATAGATTTGTATCTTAATGCTTACAAATTTTTTTGTATCTTATAATCTTAATGGAAAAATTCAACTAGAGCTAGAGAGTAAAATTTCGAGCAAGATATATACATACATAGTGAATATAAAACTGTCTAAATTATTAGATCGAACGCTTAGTTTTATTATAGTATCTCTCTCATATTTTAGAACATGTTTCCATCTTATTTTATAATATTTCATAAAATTGTAAAGAAAAATGATGAAAAAGTGTCCAATTACATAAACAGTTTATTGGTGAACGGGACAAACGCGCGATATGATTTTAGACAAAAAATGTGTTAATTTTCTTTTACACAAAATATTGTAAACGCGCATAGAGTACCCTTCTCGTACTTAGCTGGTTGCTTTTTAAGATCGTCGGCGCTCATCCCGCTTCTTCCGGGGTGATCGAGGCGGAGGTACTTTGGGCTTTAGAGAGGCGCGTGGCGGCTTTAGAGCGGCAACTACGAGAACATCAGGAAGCTTTATACGCCACACCCTCTCTCGCTCTACGAGAACTCAAACGCCAAGTGGACAGTTTCAAGAACAAATTGGAGAACAATGATCAGCTGAGCTGGCTTAGTAAGTGTAACCACATACTTCGTTCCTGCATTTAGAGTGTCCCTGTTATGCCTAAGTCTCTGGCAGATTTATTTCAGGGAAATTCTGCAAATGTCATATCACAAATTAACAGAATTTGTGAGATATTTTTACTGCATTTCCTTGTAACTTTGTAATGCGACGATATAATTTATTCCCCAAGATTAAATTTGATTATATTATAAGCAGTTTATAACATATAATTCTAAAGTTTATTACATTACACATTAATATTTTTCATACGTTCGATTTTGGCTTTTACGTAAAATTTAAAATTTTTAGGTATTACTATAACGAGCCAAATTTGTAATTTGATATAATTTATAATTCGATAATCGTCGTTTCTAATTTTGACGACAATGATCAGCTTTAGTTGCTTAAATAAGTAACATGTATAAAACTTCTGGAAATAAGTTTCGTAATTGAACTTCGTAATCGGATTTCGCGGCGGTGACCGTAGTGGTAAAAGTGAATGGGATAATCCAACGGAACGGAGAAATTCGAAATAATGTCTTACTTTTGACATTAAATAGCGAACATTAGCGAAATGAAATGCTCTGGTCGTCTGCGGGTGGCCGTCATTATTCGTCAAATGATTGCACCTATGGACCCACGGGTCCATTATCGTAATGCATCGAAGTGCACGCTACTGTTAAAATTAATTTATTGTTGCGGCACTACTCTTTTATGTTAAATTCGAGAATGGACGTCTATATATTGGTGTACCGATACAGATAATATGATTGTTTCTATAATATATTATAGACAGGATATAAGGAATTTTTGTTTTATTGCCTCATATAGTGAAAAGAAAATGAAATTGAAGATAAATATGGACCTTGTTGGAGTAAAGTGCCATGGGCGCTTTTCTTCCTTTTCAATCCGTTCTTTCGAGTTCAATTCATTGTTTAAGTATTCTCTTGTTTAGCGAAGTCTCGAGTAAAAAGTAGTAGAAATGGAATTTTAGTAACGTCAAAGTTCAGAGGAATGAAAATGTGAGGAATATTCTCGTTCATTAATTTTAAATAGTTTTCGTATTGCATTGTTAAAGATTATTTTGTATGATATCCGATACCACGCCCTCCCAAATATATATTCTCGATAATAATTTTAACACAAAAGCTGTATTGATATCTTAGCGATTTAATGCAAGAGTGCAGTCTACATTGTTCACAAATTCTTTGCTCTCGATGGTCCTCGACAACTGGGAAACATTTGGAAATTGAATTGTCACACAACACACGGCAATCCTTTCAACGAATTGAAAATTTTGTTACTATATTTAGATACACAAATAGTTGCCCACTAATTTCAAACATATAGTCTGTTTTCTGTTCCTGCACCAGATTACACTAGAACTCTCTTTCTCGTTTTCGACAAATATCAAACATATACCTTTCTCACTTTAAGTTCCGAAAATGCACACTAGTTTAGCCACAGAAAACAGATCTATAGTATACAATTAAATAATAGCTAAGGAAATTACACTTGTTAAAATAATTACTATTAGGCAATTTTATTGCACATCGATAAAGTCGAAAGATACATATCTCGACAATCTTCATTATAATGTGCAATAATTCTAAACAAATAAATAAATAATGAATAGGAAAAGATAACGAAGAAATAACAAAAATCATAATTTGAAACGTGATATGCTTTCTTTCAACATTTTAGTGAAGTATCTCCGGGTTATTGTAAAAGATTAATCTTAAAAAGTATGTGCATGTTTCAACTTGACTTTTTCAACGCAATTGTGGCGATAACTTTTCTTTTTGAGATTTGATGTCCCATACTGAGTCGAACTTTACGTTGAAATAGGTCGGTCATCTCGGTTAGATATAAAAGTTCGCGAGAGAGATTTTACGACGCCGCCCGATCTGAGACCAGCGACGGATATACGAGCGGATAAACAGCGCCATGCTTGGCCGCTGAATAAATATTTGTCCATGCAAGGAACCGTTCCAGCTATTCCTATCTTCAATTTCTAGTTGAGCTCATATAGAAGTTGATTCAAGCGTAGACGAACAAAAACATTCCGCGCTTGTGTATGGCCGTTATATTAATCACTATCTCAACCTTCTATCGTTATCTTTTGATTGGATGTGAGTCGGAGCTATTTCCATATCGCAGAAACTTAATTCAGAAAACTTCGTAATCTGCACTTTTATTACGTCTGTGTAATTTGATCCCTTACAAAATTTGTGCTAAGAGAGGATAGAAAATTTTCTAAGAATCTGCCGATAAAGGGGAAAGCCGGTGAAACTGGGACGGGACGTGTATAGGCAACTCTTAGCACATGAAACTCTCCTTATAAAATCTTGTTACGACGTGAAATGACGTAGAGTTTGCGAAAAATTGCTCCGGCGTACCGCGTTCCATCTTCGATGTTCCTTCACGATCCTTTGTTGCATGGCACAGTTCCTGCCCGCAAAAACTCAAAACTTTCCAAGAGCTTAATCTGGATATCTCCATCTTCCGCAGGTTTCTACAAGCTTCCGGAGCCCATCTATATGGAATCCTGCCGCAGATTGCAGTATCGTCGGAAGAGTGATAGCATGAAGCGGAAAGTTCGGGAGAAGTTCCTCAATATCTGGTGAGTTCATTAAGATTGTATCATCTAATCGCTAAAACTGTACGTGACGCAAACCGTACGTTTCTCCTTCATTGTTGTAGCGTTCTCCTTTAGTAAACGGTAAAGTAACAGATTCTTGCACACACAAGAAATATAAACTAACGTGTCAAACCTGACACGTCAATAAGAAAACTCCAACAAAAATAAATTTCATATTTCCGCGATAAAATTGCACAAGGCGTCGTCGAGAACGCCGTTATCGCCGATATAGCGGAAAAAATTCTTATCGTCGTACTTTTATCCACACTAAGCCAGCATGGATCTTCCATGCCTTAATGTCGATATTACGTGGGCAGGATCGCCAATGCGGGGCTTCCGCGGCATGTTCGATCGAAGCGCCAACAGGCCGTTGTGTGTTGGACAAGCCATCAGCGACTGCAGTAGTGCCGCGGCCGATGATTAAGCGGCTGCGATAATCCTATCCTATTAAGCAGCAATATGCCGCTGTTTCCAGTTACATTGTCATCCAATAGCGATCCGATCGACCGTTCTCTACTCCGGGTGCCGGGTGCCGGGTGCCGGGTGTAATGCGAGAACCCCCCGCGTTTCCCAAGTCATTGTGATTAAACGTCGATCCACGGCTAAGCATTGATCGTCTATCACGCATGCCATGCAGCTAAAAACGCGATTCAACCTCGAAGATTAATTAGCTAAGAGTTATTTAACAAATATACAACGCGCTGGAGATTTCGCTGTTGTATATAAGATATTTCATCATTTACGCGTCATTGTACTCATCAACTTCTTCGACTGATTTATAATACATCTATTCTCAATATATCGAAAAATTATAGAACGTTTTGTATTGATATCATGGCAGAAATACCTAAACAAATTTTAACGTTTTCCAATGAGAAAATCAAGCTGATGTAATATTAATGATTAATATTAATTATTCATTATTTAGTTTTTTGGTTAGCCGACAAATTTCAAAAGAGGAATTGTGATAATTAAATTAATAATTGATAATTAATTATTAATTTCTCATTAGAGCATTTCTAGGTAATACATATGTATATAATGTTAATATTTATTTGAAACAATCGATTCATTTATTATAAAACGAATGAGAGATAGGGGATAAACAAGCCATAGTAATGATAAAGCCATATTGCAATTGCTATTGAAATATCCTCTATTGAAGTTCCTAGTCAATAAAGCATCCATTGATGGCTTAATTTACCACCGTTGAACGTCGGAGATCAAAGGATGCGGTGCGGAAATTAATTATGAAGCGATGTAGAAAGTATGGAGAATTTACGAGGGACAATTATCGGGAAATTAGGAATAAACAATTCGCCGGGAGTAAAATTAATCGATTTGCTGAAATATCAGTAAGATCGCTGAGAATTAAGTATTGATCAGTTCCCCTTTGAAGCTTGACGGTGAAGATAAACAATCGATCTCTCGACACATCGTAAAGTCTCATCACGCAAAACAGTCATGCGGCGCGTCCCTGAATGCCTATCTCCGTTCTATAGTTCTCCTAGTTTACGTTTTCTTTATTCAATATTATATATACCTTTTTTAATTAAAAATTTTTAAATTAAAAACGGATTTATACTTACGCGTCGCGTAATATCTTAAATAAAAGCGGCATACAATGTGAAATACGTTTAATAAAATATAGATTGTGATATTAATCATGGCGACGAGATATTTTAACGTATGAATTTTTTATTGCGAAAGGTATGTGTGAAAGCTTTTTTAATTTCGCTAGCTTAAATGAAAGAGGCGTTATTTGAGGATTTTCATATTCGAAATCTTCTCGCACGTATTTGGCGGTATTTTCTTGCGCATAGGATATATTACGCAGATGTTCAATATTGTGAATCAGCATTATCGAGGGCATACACATCTCGCAAACAAGAATCGAAAGACGGATAGATGGTAAATATTGATTGATTGTTGCTGATATAAGCGGTGGACTGATGAAACGCCGGAGATGGACGAAGTTTGTGTCCTCTTGCGAGAGCATTACTATTAACAGTTCGGCGACTAATAAATCTCAGATAAGGTTGACGTATCGAGTTTGTGCTGTCCAAAACAGATGGTTCGTTAAGATGCATCTGCAATGCAAGTGACAGATATTTATCTCTAACAAATTGCGGAATCGGAATAAAAAATAAACTCATTTTTCAAAAAAATGAACATGCACGAAAAAATGGAAAAACGATAACGATAAGCTTTATAATAAATGTATTTTAAAAATACATTTTTACACTTATTACGTTTTTATTTGTAAAAGAATTACGTTAATTATTATAGAGAAAACGCAAACGTTAATGTAAAATGTAATATTGTAATTTTAAATTATTATTGTAAAACTATTACTGGAATATTAAAACGTTATTGCAATTTCTCCATATTTGTACTGTACATTTGGTACTGTAAAAAAAACATTGTTAGAACAATAATTCTTTGAATATCAAATCATCTGGAAGAGATGTAAATTATTTTCCCATTTCACACATAAAGAATATTTGACATGCTTTAGAAGTAATATTTTTTAAACGCGTATTAAATGTTATAAACCTGTGTATCGATTGTGCTGATACAACTTGGAAGCGCAAAGTAACTTCAAAGGGTTTCGAACGTGTGAATAGTTATTATACGATGATCCAATGACAGGTATAAAATAATTTAGTTCGCATACTCAGTGGTATGAAACTCATCGTTGACCAGACGTTGAAATACTACTACGAATTGATTCTATTATTAAAGCCGTTTTATTGAAGCCGTATTATCGAATCTGTCAGGGTTGATCTAACACAAGTTATATGTTGACATTGACAATATCATATTAACATTGCGTCCGTCTGGTTTTGTTTAACAAGAAGGGCGCGTTCAGCGTAAACGTAAGAAAGATGGGAATAAAATATGTGTGTGAGTAACGACGCGGAATATGAGTCATGTTATCGCATTTCTTCTAACTCGGATAACCGTAAAATGAAATGTATTACCTTAAAATTGAATCATACAATGTTGCACGCGACTTTTCGATATTGGACGTGGATTTAGCGAAATAAGAGTCACGGATGCATAAACGTGCATTTGAGTCGCTTTTTTTAACGAATACGTAATAAAATCCATATAACTTATAAAGCGTTAATGAATCTCAGAGAGAATTCCAATATTTTAATTTCACGAGAATCGTAGTAGAAACAATTGAATCGTTTATGGCTTATAAACTCGCAAATAATCGACGAACGCGTATTTTACATCTCCAATTACAAGTTACTTGTGTGCGAATGCATTTCCCGAGAAATATCTGCATCTGTTATTAATTTAATTACAGTTTATTTCATTCTGCTTTTTTCTCTGAATTCTTCTATTTAGTTTTGCTGGATATTTCCACTTACACAACACTTGATAATTATATAATACTTAATAGAAATTACCTACTTAATTATATAAATTGATTTTAATATATTGTTTTTAATATTTTTCTATAAAAATGCTTGAACATTTTCTCACTTCGTCTCTCTTCGCCTCTTTAAATTATATAATTTAAATTATAGAAAGGTTTTTTAAGTATACAAATATTTTGTATACTTTAGAGAATTCCAATTTTCATACTTAAAAATTCTTTTTTTAATTTAAATTTCGTTCATTTTTAACAAAGTTACAGTTGCTTGAATCTTGAAGTTTGCAGCACTACGAATTTTATTACAACTTAATATTTATGTTTATATTAATTTATATTTAGGAAATGTTAAATTGTGTTAATAACATTTTCCGTTAAATGTGTTTAACATGTTAATAACATTTTCTGTTAAGTTTTCCACATAAATAGAATTAATGGTCATTACACGTTCGAGCTAGATTTTGCGTTTGTGAAAGAGACAAGAAGCGGATTACGTATAACGACGGCATAATTCATTTTGCGTCGTGATAAAAACCTGATTACGGGTTGATGCATTATGTTGGTTAGATTTTTTTATCTATTTTTCGTCTCTATTGATGTACTTATTTCCGCGTGATTCTTATCTTAGCGTAAAATGAGAATGAATGACCTTCCTCGATTTTCCCCGCTAATAAAACCTCGCTTCTCTGGACATCCCGTATTTCTCCGGTTATATTTTTGTCATATTCCGAATTCCGAAAATACAGTTTATTGAGTCTGCCCGTCCACGTGTCCGTCGTGTCCGTCGTGTCCGTCATAACACTACGAAGCTAAAAATTCCACGGGAACAGCGCCGTTTTCGCGCGTCTGATTTCCTGTAAACAAAAACAAAGAGAATGAAAGACGCTGATGCGTTAGTTCGCATTACGCAAGTAGGAAGTTTCCCGGCATAATTTCCGCGAATCTCATAGGTGGGATGCGCGACTCTGGTAAAGCGTGACGAGGTGCAGGGCGAGCCTCGGATGCTTAAAATAGGGAACGTACGTGGGGCCGTGTTGGGATGCCTCGGAATGCGGCTGTTACCTATAAGCCGTGCGCCTTGCATCCACAACCACGCCTTTTGCATCCTCTTCGTCTGGTTTGTGCGGCTCGACTTATTCCGCGCCCGACGAAATATGCGATCTCGCCGTCACGTATCGAATATCAAAACGTATCGCGTTTGTGCGCGGCAACGCCATTTCTTGCGCTTCCTCGTGAAGACGATTCAAACGAAGCGAATAAAGTACGATGGACACTCACAGATCGCCATTACTCTGAAATCTTCAAGGTGACGAGATGAACGATAAGTAATTGGAGAACTTATTGTTAGATTCTCATTTATTTCGGAAAACTTATTTACAATTAGTCGAAACTTATTTTTAATTAATTTGCTTTTAATTGTTGACATTAATCATTAAACATTTTTTTCCTATCATTTTTGGAACTAAATACAAGATAACGAATAACTTTTATTTTATTTGTTATAAAATGTATATCTATTATAATTTATAATATGAATGTAGGAATGTGTAGGATTGTGAAAAAGAATTTCAATAAGTTTCCCAAGCTTTCGAGTGATGGGAAATCTTATTTAATACGTTTTTGCACTCAATTGGAATGGCTTACCCGAAAATTCGTAGCACGGCAGAAATAACACGTCGTATTTGGGACGATGAGGATTCGGGTCGAGGAATTTTCATCCGACAAGAGTCAGGCGAATAATTTTATCTGCTTATTCGTATCTCTCCTAACTGTTAGTTCAGATACAGTTTATTTTGCATTGCGCATCTCTCATTTTACCGTTTATCTTCAAATTTTATACGATATTTTTCATTTATTGCGATTTATAATCAAATATTTGTTGAGAACGGATATACAGGTTTATCGCGTGATGCGTACGGTTATTGATTTCGATCCCAGATACATCGGGTAATCCCGGAGTTGATGAATATACGAATGTATGTGTTTGCGGAATTTCGCAAACGCCATTTTATACATCGTCTCGACAGCGGCGATGCAGAAACTTTGCTTCGCTGACTTAAATGCCTACCTGCAGGCGAAGACAATCCACGGCGTTTAATTAAACGAACGTCAATCCGTTGGATGGAGCTAAGTCTACTTGCAAGTAGACAATTAATTACCGATTTCATTTGATTGCAACACGATCGCGTGTTTGCAAGTCTCGGTATGTAATATGGAATATATCGTTCCTAAATTGTTTATTCCATGTTGCAGAAGCATCGATTTGTTCCATGTTATGAGAAATTTCACTGATTGTCCGCAAATACATTGAGAGAAATGAGTTTGGTGTTTGTGACTACAATTGCATAATAAAATGATGGAAAGCTTTATTTTTATAGTTATTATTGCTGTACTGTTAGTAATGATAAATATACATATTTATATAGTTCTACCAAAATAATATATATAATTGGCACAAAAAATGACGATAAATTATAGTTGTATGTATTATGATAATTGCAACCCTTTTTTTTCCTCAATAAGCTTGTTCATATATTTCTCTCAACTTTTTATGAATATGAAAGCGATTTTCCAGTTTGCAATTAATTCTAGTCGATATTATTGTAGCAGGAATTTGATAAGCTTAATTACTTAATGGTCCAATTGTTCTTCGTTAAATATCTTGAAATTTGTTCTCTAAATGAAGCTTATTGCTGCGAAGCATTAAATTGCAGATATCCCGACCATATTACATGAGTAATCAAGCTATTGTGTTACACTCGTGGTATTAACAACAATTGTTGTACTAACATTCGTGCAAAATTACTATACGTGTTCTATTAACGGATCGTATTAGCCAAACTGGAAGAGTTACTAATTAACAAATTGCGCCGCGCAAATTATGTCTGCATACGCAAATATTCGGTAATTCGTTGTACCTATATATACTGTTACCTTTTTGCAAAATACATATCTAAATATGAGAATATATATATGGTATATGCATCATGGATAGTCTGTAATGAAAATTTTGTTTTTGATTCATTAAATGAAGCGGGAGAGAAAATAGGCCCGCCAGTAAAGCGAAGATCAAAGATGATACTTCGACCTTTACCGCCCTGTGTGACGTCAAGGTTTCTTTCTCGCACATGCAAGGCAAAAGTAACGTCGTACATGTGAGAAATGTCCTTTACGTCGCTCGTCCGTCCATCAAAATGTCTCGTCGAGCTGACTCGCCCGAGGGTGCGTTTGCAAACGCAATTAAACGCGAACGTGCTCGCGTGGCGAGTAACTATCGTCTCGCGTAGGACTCTACTCAACTTTCCGCACCGCTGCGATCGTGCCAGATTGCGAATCGATATAGCGATATCGCATTGAAATGAGAAGCGTCATTCTATGAACTTGGAGCCGATATCTCATCAGCAAATTCGATCGTGCAAGATATTGCGGCGGTAATTGTAGTTCACTGAAATGTTAACTTTCTCGAGTTATTGTCAAGAAGACGACGTATTATGAGGAAAGAATGTTTTTTTCACATTTTTTAGCAAAAGAATTCGCTCTAGATAGTCAATTTAAGAGTAAAAAATAAAATGATTAATAATTTAGAAACTACTTATTCTTACTATTGTTACTTTTGCGAACTTTTTATTATTTCAGTATCATTTCACTTACATATTCATTTTTTCCGTGCAATAAAAATAAAGAGGAAAAAGAGTTATATAAGAAAGAAAATTGTAAAAGAATAAAACGGCTATGTATATTTTGAATGCACTGTCACAACATTTAGCTGAGATAAATTTGTACGCGTTTTCAAATATTATATTTCTCCACGTATTTGTGAACGAATAATTTTTTACTGATAACACCGACACAATATTTTTTAGAAAAAAAAAAAAATGTTCTCTAAGGATCGCTCCAATGAAATCAATTATTCAGTTATGTAAAATCCGGATTTTTTTATACAGTATTTATTATGTTGTTGACGTAACACAGCAAATAAAACCGTGTGTGTTTTTGAAGCGCCTTAATACGCGCGTGTGATTCCACGTACATTAATACGGGGCAAACCGGGCGCTATAAAGAGAGACCCTGAGGAACTTTAACCTTCCACCCTCGAGGGCTTTACGTTGGAGCACTTTATGAAGCACGTCGTACGTTTAGATGCGTGACACGCAGCTCGATCGAGAAAATCACGAGGCTTTTTTAATACTTTCAGCGTATCTCCGCTGTAGCTGTCTTCCACGTAAAGAACGGAAGAATATGATATTTAAGAAGATCGATATTCAACAATATCAATTCTCTATAATAGACTTCGTGCAAAGTCTTTATCTGTTCGTTCCTATCGACAGCTTCAAGGCTTGATTGTCTTAGAATCAATTCTCGCCACGTCTCTCAGGAAGGTGAGACACAGGGTGTATCATGAATTTATGTATAATTTTTTATTCACGCGCTTGCCGTACAATTGCGAGAAAATTTTCTATCTTCCGATACTAGAATAGAGTAATTTCTGTACTTGTTCTGCGCGCGACTATTAAATCGGCGAGATTGAA